TGGATAAGGATTAAAAAAATGTGTGACGGGTGTATCTACCCTGCACTAAGGAGTAGGGAGTCGCCCTTGCCCAGTTGGCTGAAAAGGCCCCACCCCCACAGCCTTGCTGGGCATTCTCCCAGGGAATGCTGGGTATAAAAGCCCAGGGAGCCACTCAGTCTAAGCTGACCACCAGAGGGGAAGGAGCTCAGGACGGAGCTCCTGATCTGCCCCTGCAGCAGCAGCAGCAGCAGCAGCCCCCCAGGAGCAGCAATCCTCCACTGCCAACAGGGCCTGGGCTGGGACCCGGTGGAGTGGGAGGGCCTGGGTCCTCCTACCTTCCCACTCCACACCAATCCAGCTCCCTAGAATTCTGGGAGGCTTCCCTCAGAGTAGGCCTTTAGGCCATGGTGACCTTGAGAGAGGAGTGTGTGTTGGTGTACTAGACCTGCAGAGCTGTATTTACCCTGATAGAGGGAACTGTGCTGTGGACTAGGCCTGTAGGGCCGTATTGACCCTGATAAAGGGGGCTGTACTCTGGGACTACACCCACTGGACTGTATTTACCCTAGGTAGAAGGACATTTAAGAGGAACTGGACCTACGAGCCATAATTGCTCTGCGTAAAGCTGACACAGACCCCAATTTTGGGGTTTCCAGACCATTGAGGGGTCGTGCCCTCTACAGTATGGTTACTCTGAAACTGTGACAATGCCATCGCATATTGTAAGAAAAGCACAGACCCCTAAACTCTGGTCTTGGCTGATGAAAGCAAAAGGAAATTACCTTCAATTTAAACATAAATGTATTGATTTGTAATATGTGAGATGAAATTCTGCACCAACCTACACCCTGTGCAATACTATTTGTTTCAGTAGGATTACAGGGAGAGTAAATCAGCATTAAAAGGCCCATATTTTATTTATTTATTTATTTAAATATTTTTACCCCACCTTTCTATTTAAAATATTCAAGGTGGCTTACAAAAAAAACCACAATACAAATATATATAAAAATTTAAAATTTTTATATTAATGATTAAGGTTATTATTTATCGAAGTCAGTAGGATTCCATGTGTGCACACCGGCACAGATAAATGAAGATTTTTTTTCCCCATTTTGATATATTCTAGCAGTTACAGACAGATTCTCTGAACATACAATGGGCATTGTCACAGGAGCAGACAAAAACTGTCAAAACAGAAACAACACCCATGGTTTGCCCAAGAATATAGCTGCCTATACTAGTGAATCGCTAAAGTCTGATCCTGAAAACACTGATTAATGTAAGCGTTCTTTACTCATGTCAGTATTCCTACTGACTACCACAGGAACAATGATTCAGAGAAAGGGCCTGATTCCAGGCTTACACCAATGTAGTTCAGGAGTAACTCAATGGACATCAACAGAGTTTATCAGTGTGAATCTGGTATAATAAGTGAGATCAGATTCAGGTCATTTTGTGCAACATTAAACATATTATTAAATCTTAACCACTAATGAACCAGAACAAGAACACCTAAATGCAATTATGGCCTGATGTTACATGGTTGTTTTTGTTCTACTACATTAGAAGCAAAACTGCAAATTGTGTTTAATTCCTACTAGAAATCAGAACTCCAGAGTTACCTTTAGATTATCAGGAAGTTCTGCTCGTCCAGCATACCCAGGGTTCATAGTGATGAAGACACAACAGGTTGGATTAAGAGAGATCTCTGTTCCTTCAAAAATAAATGTTTTCAGATTTCGAATAATAGCCTGCTGTATACTGAGTATCTGTTGTGCAACTACAGACAACACTTCAACCTAATAATAAAGAAATAGATTAGAAAACATCCCAGACATGGAGCCATTATAAAAGCAGTATTTCTGGGTGAAACTTTTTTTTAAATACAGTTTAATGGCTTTATGTTGAAGTCCTAGAGATGGAAACTGCCTTAAAGTATGTACCACAATAAAAGAATTTTAGAAAATTCAAAAGCTGGCTTTTATCTTCACTGGGGTACAGGCTCACAAAACCTAATATAATGGAATAACGTATGTGACAGCGTAGACTACAAAGAATACACAAAACAGACAGATTATGGATGGTATATTCAAAAGCATTTTGCATTGGCCTAATTTTGCTTCCTGTAAAGAAACAGGAAAAACTCACCCGAAGAGAGTTAGGCCAACGGTGACACTATGCATCAAAAGCACTTAAAGCTAAAAATGTAGGACCCAGATTTTCACAGCTAATAACACCCATTGTTATCCAGAACCTTTCATCAGGAGAAGTAAAAGTGTTTTACAGATTGGCAAACTGAAGCACAGAGAGGTGAAGTGACTTGCCCAAGGTCACCTAATAGGCTAGTGGCAGAGCAAGGGTTTGAACCCACTCCGCAGCATCAGTGCTCTATCCACCCAGTCCACACTTCCTCTGTCAAAATTTGTGCATGCACTATGGCAGCTGTGTATGTATGTAATAGTGAAAACCTGGGCTTAGGTCACAAGCTGTGCTAAAAGTAGGAAATTAATGGTATTACACATTCAAGTCTATATTTAAAGTTATTCTTTAATATTTAATTACATGTTTGTTGTTTTAAACACTTCAGTTAAAAAGTTACCTCAATTCTGTTGAATTCATCAAAGCAGGCCCAAGCTCCAGATTGTGCCAGTCCCTTAAAGAATTTACCCATGGCTTTGTAATCAAGACCATCAGAGCAATTAAAGACAACACACTATAGTAAAAAAGAAACATTCAGCATTCAGTGTTAATATTATTATAACAATTTTGGTATCTATAAACAGAAGGAGATTATTATGAGTTTGGCAATTGGTAATTTAGAAGATTATATATACCTAAATATGTAGTCAATGGCTCTAGCCATGATATTAACATGTTGGTAATGAAGTATCTGTCAAGTATTTACTCGCCACAGGGATTAAGATTAGTTTTATGTGAAATAAAACACTACTGTACATTGATGTGAGGAAATGTTTCAAAGATTTTTCAAGCCTGAGAAATTTAAAACAATACTCATATCATGGTTTTAGGTGAAACTATATATTAGCTTAAATTAAACAAAATAATTCAGTGTTTTTCTAAGCAAAAAAGAATAAAAAAAGAATAAAAAAAGAAAATCTCTTGTAAAGGAACACTTCCTAACAGGCAAATCCAGCTCCCTTCTTCTGAACATGTAAGTCTCCTCCAAAACCAACTGCAATATCATGTCTCTTCTACACAGCTAAGACTTATAAAAAGGGAATCTATCCCACATTGAGTCATTCATCATGGTCTGTGAAAGTTTCTGACACAGGAAAATGGAAAGGGATTTTTAGATAGAAACAGCATGCTAGTATAGGCTTGGGAAATATGAGTGTGAGGATGCTGCAGCAGCCCTAGGCTTCTGGCTTAGCACTTGAGGTCCCTGCTGCCACTCTGCACATTGGGATCTCTGCTGCAGGCCCCATGTGCTGGAATGGATTCTCAGCTGCTGCTCTGTGAACCAGGAGCTCTGCTGCCAGCCCTGGATGCTGGGGTCTCTGTTAGAGCTGTGTGTGCTAAGAGGCAGCTACCAGAGCTTTGCTCTCAGCTTTAGCTGAGAATGAGGGTGGATAGAGCCAAAGGGGCTCAGCACTCCACTTTGACAGATGTTCCCATACCACTGCATGGCACTCAGCAGTGGGCTATAACTACTACTTGCTCCAGTACCCTGAAGGAGCAGCAGCACTTTGGATACATTCTGCCTACCATAGACTATTGCTGAGGATTCCATTATCCATCCCTAGGCCTACTGGAATCATTTTTATGGAATGCACACAGCCTGTTCACTCAGGCTTTGTGTTTTTTGTCCAAATTCTGTGAGCTTCCCATCAGTACTCGTCATGAATAGATAACAGATGAAGGGCACTGCCATTTGCACAAGAAAGAACTCCAGAGAAGACCTGCATCTCAAAACACAAAACAATGTAATGCAACAATTCAACATTTCATTTATTTTGGTACCTGCTTAGCCAGTGCTTTTGCTAGATCTTTTGTTGTTTCAGTTTTGCCAGTCCCTGCAGGTCCTTCTGGAGCACCCCCAAGATTTAGTTTCAAAGCTCCCATTAATGTTCTACATAATAAACAAGAAATAACATGAATCACATGTTAGCTCTTCAGGAGCTGTAAGTTAGCATACACCATAGCCTTCTCTGGGAGTACAATGATTTGCACTTGTCAAGGGATCTGACTCTACATTGTTATCAGAAATTCATTTTTTAACTGGTTTGCCATCTCCACTTCTCAAACTGGCTTCCCCACAGCATAGACTCCTGGAGTTGGAAGCCACTTCAAACATGCAAAATAAAAGCCTAAATCCAGACACGGTTTAAGAAGTCTTCATGGTTTAAGTCTTCTCTAATTTAACTAATTTCCCATGTGGAACTGTACCAAATGCATTATTGAAATGTAGGCAGATTAGATATACTGCATTTCCTTTGTCTAAAAAATCAGTTATTTTCTCAATGGAGATCAGGTTTGTAAAACCATGTTGTATTTTATCCCAATTACCACACACCTCTATGTCCTTAACTACTTTCTCTTTCAAAATTTGGTCCAAGACTTTGCATACAATTGAGGTCAAGCTAACAATCTTGTAATTTCCTAGATCATTTCCCCCCTTTCTTAAAAGTAGAAACTATATTAGTAATTTTCCAGTCATAGACAACAACCCCCGAGTTTACAGATTTATTAAAAATCCTAGCTATTGAGCTTACAGTTGTGCCCAGTCCTTTAATACTCTTGCATGGACCCTCTGATTTAATCTCATTAAGTGGTTTGCATTTGACTT